GTTTGTTGGTAGGAAATTAAGTATCCCACTTGGTAAGTAACCCTACCTATTTAGTTTTAAATTTAACTTATATATATATAATATATATATACTATATATATATATATATATATATACACACACACAGAAATTAAGTACATTTTTTACATTGATACTTAGTGAATGTGAATTTAGGAATAATTATTTCAGTATCTATAAATTAATCAATTAACCCTTTTTGCATCAGGTAGGTCAAAGTGCATGTTACAATCTTTTACAGAGTTACATTCAAAACTTAATTAAACAACTTTATTGTCAATGTATACAAGTAAACTTGACATCAAAACATAGTTGATGAACCAAATTTCAATATTATTTAAGTTTTAGGTTCTTATTTTTATAAGGAAGTACTTGAAAAAATCCTCAATCTCCACTAATCTTCCCTCTTCTCTAATTAATTTACCACCCCTCCGAGAAGTACAGAACTTAACATAAAATACTTATTATAATATAGATATTACTCACACAAAGGACAATTTTCAAAGCCTTCAATCTTATTTAAGGAGTCATGAACTATAAAATCACACCCATCTCGTCACACCCACCTGTCACATCCTCTCTTTCCCAAATTTCCAATAGTTCTCTCTGATGTTTGATACTATAAAAATTACAACCAATGAAAAGCCAAAGTTTTAATATATCAAATGAAATATTATATTAAATTGATTTCTGTACAGAGAATTGTCTATTTTTCTTCAAGTTTAAGCTTTATTCCCATGGGAAACACATCAATGAGCTTAGCTGAATTTCTAATGGCTCACATTACATAGTTAGAAAGCCAGATAATTGTGATAGTTATGGAACATTGTCTGCTTTTTGCATGTTATTATTCTGTGTTCTATGGTGCATTATTTAATTAAATAAAAAATCATTTAGTGCAATAGTACCATTAGTATAAAAAAAGTATGGTTAAGTGTCATCAAAGAAAAAGACAACCCAGGTAAGTACTATATTTCCTGTTTTTCAGGTGTATTCTTTATTATTATTATTATTAAAGTAACTAAAATGTAAAAATTAGAAACTTGTTATACTAGATAATATTAGATAAGAAAAATAATAATATTAATAACAATTCTTCACAAAGTGTTCTCACAAGAAGCTTGTGCAATGCATATTTCAATAGGGTAACATGAGATATTTTGGTATATAATGTTGTGAAATTATAAGTATTAACAGAATTACCTGTTTTTAAAAAAATTAAATTAACTAAATATTCCAAGATTGGAACATTATTTTCAAGAGATCCAAAAATGATGATTCAAATCATTTGATGGCATTAATTAAATTCTTTTAAAATAAAACATTAATTATTATGGAACTACTAAGGGTCTTTTACTTTTTTATCACCATTGAACACCATTTTATAATACTTATGAAAAAGGATAGAGGTTTGGAGTCTTAAAATTGTAGAAATATAGTGTAGCCTATTTCTACTACAAGGCTCTTCCTATATGTGTAAAGATTGGGGGTTACTGCTTCTCACAACTGGCTGCAATACAAGATGAGATGTTGTAGGTTTAAGCACTCAACTCCTAACTCC